TAGAACTATTTTATATAATATAATATAATATACATTAACATATATTAATAATTATATTTATATATATTATGTTTTATAATATAATCGGATTTTCCCCGAACCCCGATCAGTGGTCAAAAACCCGCCCCGATCAGGGCAGGGCGGGGCGGGGCGGGGCCTTACAGGGTGGGTGAAATTGCCATCCATATGCAAAAATAACAGATGCTACCCGTATTGCATTTTTGTTCTTCGGGAGATCATCGAAACTAATGGGTCGGCCAAAACTATCTCTTTACTCTTTAGATAAGAGTCTTTTTTGGAAAATTTTATAGTCATATAGGTATTGTCTATTGACTACTGAAGTGGTTAGTTGGAGTATGGAGGATAAAGTGTTTGGTGGGAAAAATGTCTCACACAAAGAGACAACTCTATCACAAGCAGATTTTGATTGAAACAATAGTAGTAAGAGGACAATAGGAAAGTCTTGTTCATGATTGTTTATGGGCGAAAGCCATTATATGCAGTTGATCTGGCACCTTTTCCAATCATGATGATACAGAAACCTTTGCTGAAGGATTCAACATATGATTCTAAAATGCGAGAAAATTAGAAAAATTAAGTTGGAGATTTAGTAATGATCTACAGTTTCCTATGTGTACATCTTTTTGTAGATCTTTGTGTACATCTTATAAATTGGAATTTCAAAAAATTAGTCCATGCAAGATGTTAAAAAATGAGTGAAAATGTAGCAAGAACAGTAGGACAATGGATTTATCCGATGTTTATTTTAGTCAACCTCTACAAGTACCACACAGATTCTATCCAGGAAGATGCGGCCAAAACTTCTAATGGATTGCTCAAATGCCCAGCTTCAATGTTTCAATTATGAAAAGTTCAAAGATGTCTTCCATGTACGGAAAACAAAAATGAGGAATGAGATGAACTCTATCAACAATACATTCATGAAAACTCATCAAGAGCCAGAAGCAATGAATATCTTGATCTTTTGACAAGGGAAAAGTAGAAATTGTGAATAAAATGGTGTATTCTGATCTATACACAAATAGGGGTCAAATAGGTATTTTACATATGGAATAGGGAATTTTCACCATTAAAAAAAAAGTCAGGGCTCAGTTTGGGAAGAGTACAAATACAAATATGTATTTGCATATACATATATGTTCCGTTTACAAGGTTTTGCACGAACATATTTGTATTTGCACTCTTCCCAAACTGAGCCAAGGAAATTTGTTCAAGCTTAGTTGTCAAAATCAATCCTAGAATGTGAAGTCGACTAATACAACTTACCAATAAAAAAATAACTAATACAAACTTTGGAATTTAAAAAAAAAAAGAAAAATAGAAAGTAGATATAAAGGTCTGGGAGTTTGTATGGGTGTGTTTAACAGTTCAAGGCAGGCAATGAAATTTAGTCTTTCTTATGCAACTAGTGTGATTTAATCCTTTGAATGCTAAGACCACAAGAGCAAACATTTGGATTTGAGTCCCAGGTCTTCCATTGGAGTTTTGGGATGAAGACTATCTAAGCTTAATCCTCAGGGATATCGGCCCAGTCATCAAACTAGACAAGAACACCAAAAGTCTTGCAAGAACAGCTTCCAAGAGTTTGTGTAATTCGGTTAGTGTTAATATTGAGAACCCATTCATTCTCGAGAGACATCCTACTGTGGGAGGAATGTGCAATATTTATGACGTGCTATATGAAAACATATTCAACCTATGTATAGCACGTAGTAAATCAAGGCACAAAGCTGGTGGGTGTATCTTCAATAGTAAGAGTGCCAGAAATGTTGAAGCAGGTGGATGGACAGAGGTAAAAAATAGAAAGAAAAAGACAACTAGTAGGCCAAAGATGGCTTCAAAGAGACGGGAGGACCAGAGAGGCAGAGAGCAATGATATATCCTAGATGGCAAAAAAAACTTGAGAAAAAATAAAATGCAAGGGAATCACAAGAAACCCAATACCCATTAAAACCAACACTGTTACTTTCGGGTTCATAACTATGGTACCAGTTGGAAATGGTGTGAAATGGGTGGTTAGGAATGAAACCAGCATGTGGGGTCATCTAAAAATCAAGAAGGCTCTGTCGATCTGAACCTCCTAAAAGTGACTCTAATGGCAAAGGTAACAAAAAGTGGAAGATGCAAGATGATGGCTGACCAATCAGATGCAGACTCAAATTCAGGTGAGGACCTCAGCAATGAAGTGATAATGATGGAAGGTAATGAAGGTGTTGAGACACAAATAAAGGGAATACAAGTGTACAAGAAAAGGCCACGTCAGCCTTTAAGTAATGTAACTGACAGCCAACCACTAGAACAAACTAAATAACAAACTGGACAAGTGGAGAGGCTGATATAACAGAATTGTATAAATAAGGAAAGGAAGCCAGAAGAGGAATTATTGATTTTGGGACTCTCTCTCTCTCTCTCTCTCTCTCTCTCTCTCTCTCTCTCGTTCAGGAAATCAAAGAAAGCTTCGCATCCTTGCTTGAACAACTGGAACAGACACCACCAGCGCCGAATCGGGAAGGGCAGGAAGAACGCAATGACACCAGTCATTGAAGCGGATCAAGAACGGCAAGAATTGAGTTTCCCGTCTTCGCAGGGGGAGATCCCACATCCTGGCTTCTGCGAACAGAAAGATACTTCGATTACCACGATCGCAGGGACCTGGTCATGTTCCATTAGCTTCCGCACACCTGGAAGGAGAGGCGATCGTCTGGTACCAGTGGTACCAACAACGGCACCCAAGAGCTACATGGGTGGACTTCACCGATGCCTTAACCACGAGATTTGGAGTCTCGGCCTTTGAAAACTATGATGAAAGCTTCACTAAGCTACGACAGACCGGCTCCGTCCAAAATTATCAGATGGCGTTCGAAAGGTTAGCTGTGCGCGTGCAAGGGTGGACAGAAAACGCACTTGTCGGCAGTTTTGTTGGTGGACTTAGGGAAGAATTGCGGCTGGAGGTGAAAGCCACGCAGCCCACCACCGTTCTTGACACATCAGCCTTAGCTCAACTCCATGAAGACAAACTGAATCGGGCAAGAAGGATTAATCGACCTTTGGGAGTTGCGGTCAGACCAGGTATACTGAATCCAAAACCAGGTATCTTGGGTAAACCGGAGTCCAAACCAGGAGTAGGAATCATAGGCAAGGACACCAACTTTGGTTCAGGCCCCGGCTCAGCCAAGAGGTTAACCTGGGCTAAGATGCAAGCCCGGCGGGAAAAGGGCCTTTGTTATGCATGTGGAGATAAATTCGGACCGGGCCATCGCTGTAAGATGCCGCAAGTTTTCTTCCTTCAACCTGAAACCGAAAACGTCGAGCAATCAGCAGACATGGAAGAACCAGTGCACAACCAAGAATGGGGGCAATGGACAAAGGAATACCCGGAAGTATCCCTGCAAGCCTTGATCGGCCTTGCTTCCTCTCAAATTATGAGAGTAGTCGGACTGGTACAAGGGCACCATGTGTCGTTTCTGATAGACAGTGGCAGCACTCTCAATTTCATTACCCAAACATTGGTCAGACAACTAGGGATTCCGGTCCAACCATGTACAGCATTTTGGGTGCACGTAGCTAATGGGAGCAACCTGGTGTGCGACAGTACGTGCATAGGATTAAAGATGAAGATACAGGGACACGAGTTCGAGGTAGATCTACATCCCCTGGAAATCAGTGGAGCAGATGTAGTTCTCGGAGTCCAATGGTTAAGGCAACTAAGGCCGGTGATATGTGATTGGGCCCGTCTAACCATGGATTTTCAAGTGGGCAGCTCACAGGTGCATATTCAAGGACAGTTGTCCAAGGGTCCAGGACCCATTAGTCTCGCCACCCTAAGAAAACAGGCAGCAGACCCAGCCCACATCATTTTAATGCAGATAGACTCCCACAGAAACGGCCCAATTCTAGCCCAAGGAAGTAACTCCAGCAGATCCGAAGAAGCCCACATACAACTACAACAGCTACTTTCAGAAGTTTTTAGTGATCTTCCAAGAGCCTAAAGAACTACCACCGAAACATGCTCATGATCATTGCATTCCATTGCTGCTTGGAACGGCACCCACAAATGTAAGGCCCTACCGTTACCCCTATTTTCAGAAACTAGAGATTGAAAGACAAGTGCAAGATATGCTTGATAGAAAAATTATACAACCCAGCCAAAGCCCATTCTCCTCGCCGGTATTACTTGTGAAAAAGAAGGATGGGACATGGCGGTTTTGTATAGACTATAGGGCCCTGAACAACATTACTGTGAAGGATCGATTTCCCATACCGGTAATCGATGAACTCGGCAAGGCCACCATATTCTCTAAACTAGACCTGAGATCGGGATATCATCAAATTCGAGTCCATGAGGGTGACAACCACAAGACTGCCTTTCATACACACGAGGGGCATTATGAGTTTTTGGTCATGTCGTTTGGGTTGACCAATGCGCCAGCTACATTCCAAGCACTTATGAATGACATATTTCGACCCCAGTTGCGCAAATTTATACTCGGAACTACTAAGGACTCATTAACTCTTTGCAAATGAGTCAAAGTGCGCATTTGGACAGACGCAAGTACACTACTTAGGGCACATAGTCGAAAAGCAGCAGACCCAAAAAAGATCTCAAGCATGATAAATTGGCCCCGACCTCAAAATGTTAAGGAGTTATGGGGCTTATTGGGTCTAACAGGGTACTACCGGCGATTCATCAGAGGATATGGACTGATTGCTGCCCCCTTGACAAGTTTACTTAAGAAGAATGGTTTCTGTTGGACTAGGGAGGCCCAACAGGCCTTCGAGACGCTCAAAACAACTGTCTCGTCCCCACCGACGCTTGCACTTCCATACTTCTAAAAGGACTTCATCATTGAATGTGATGTGTCAAGCCAAGGAGTAGGTGCGGTCCTCATGCAAGAAGAAAGGCCACTAGCGTTTTTCAGCAAAGCAATGACAGCACATCTTGACTTGGACTTGAGGATGCAACTTGGGAACCTAACTTGGACTTACAGACTAGATTTCCACATCTTGACCTTGAGGGCAAGGTCGCTTTCAAGGGAGGAGGGACTGTTGAGACACAAATAAAGGGAATATAAGTGTACAAGAAAATGCCACATCAGCCTTTAAGTAATGTAACTGACAGCCAACCACTAGAACAAACTAAAYAAYAAACTGGAYAAGTGGAGAGGCTGATATAACAGAATTGTAACAGAAGTGTATAAATAAGGAAAGGAAGCCAGAAGAGGAATTATTGATTTTGGGAATACAATCTCTCTCTCTCTCTCTCTCTCTCTCTTTCTCTCTCTCTTCTTTCTCTCTCTCTCTCTCTCGTTCAGGAGGCAGGCTTCCTCGAAAAAGTCCCTGAGTTAGGCAGTTCCTAACAGAAGGTAACAAGGAAGAGGAAGGTGGTGAAGAAGACTATGGCGACCTAGAAGAGGAAAGAACAATTCTGTTATATGTATGCTTTTTTATTTGCTCTTATTTGTATGCTTTTTTCCTTGATAGTTACACTTGACATATGTACATGGTGAATGGATGGATTTGGGGAGAGATGTATGATGAATGCAATTTTATTTGCTCTTATTTGTATGCTATTTTCCTTGATAGTTACACTTGACATATGTCCATGGTGTATGGATGAGTTGGGTAGATATGTATGGCTATGTATTAGATGTTTGTGACAATATTATGGGCTTGGGGGAAGGAAAAATAAGTGGGTTTATTTACCTGCAATGGGTTCATCGGAGAGAGATTTGATTGTGTGAGAGGCTTCCTCGAAAAAGTCCCCGAGTTAGGCAGTTCCTAACAGAAGGTAACAAGGAAGAGGAAGGTGGTGAAGAAGACTGTGGCGACCTGGAAGAGGAAAGAACAATTCTGTTATATGTATGCTTTTTTATTTGCTCTTATTTGTATGCTTTTCTCCTTGATAGTTACACTTGACATATGTACATGGTGAATGGATGGATTTGGAGAGAGATGTATGATGAATGCAATTTTATTTGCTCTTATTTGTATGCTTTTTTCCTTGATAGTTACACTTGACATATGTCCATGGTGTATGGATGAGTTGGGTAGATATGCATGGCTATGTATTAGATGTTTGTGACAATATTATGGGCTTGGGGGAAGGAAAAATAAGTGGGTTTATTTACCTGCAATGGGTTCATCGGAGGGAGATTTGATTGTGTGGGAGGATAATAAGAGAGATTGTATGGAAAAAATTGTAGGAACTTATTTAGTGACAATGAAGTTCAAAGATAAAGGAGATGATTTTGAATGATGGTTAACTAATGTGTATGGGTCCTACTTCATGTAGAGAAAGGGAGAATCTTTGGGTGGAAGTGGAATTGTACAACATAAGTAGAGTGTGTGATGGGGAACGTTGTGTTGCTGAAGACTTTAATACCATGAAGATTCTGTGACTTGATGTATCTTATTAGTATAGTCCTTGTTGTACACTACATTACTTGTATTCTTTTTTCTCTTTCAACCCTAGATGGGCATTCTTGATTCTTGTAACTGTACATATCTTTTAATACATAAGAGACTCTTTGAGGTGAGGGTCAACTATTTCTGGACACTTCTAAGATTATTCTTGTTCCCCTCTATTTGGCCAAGAGTAGGAGTTCTCATAAAAACCTGAAAAACAACTGTGGAAATGGTATCTGTGATAGCTTAGAAAGTTAGGGGTGTGGGTAGCCCCCTTCACCCATGACACGTGAAATGGCTAATCGAACATAGGCAGATGTTTTGTTTCTCATGGAGACTTGTGTGAACCCCAAGAGTGGTGAAAAAATTATAAAATCATTTGGGCAAATCTGACACTAGTAGTTTTTCGGTTACCTTTGCTTATGCTCTACTAAATACAAATGAACAAGAGAGTGTGGAAATGGATAAGTGATATAGAAGTGTAAGTACATAGATCTAGGTCTTATGGAGAATGCACTGAAGACACTCAAGCAAGAGACCACAGCGCACTCTCATCGCGTCTGCAAGCCCGAATTTCCATGCTCAAAGAACAAAAGAAATGCTTGAAGAACACCTGGTGCATTATTGGCCTGTGCGTAAACTCTGCCTGACATTCCCTTGAACCCCCATTGAAGCCCTTCCCAAGTTTTCTGTAACCTCCCTCCCCTTTCCTCTTCCTCTTCAAAGCCATCTACCGTCTTTCAGGTAGACCCCTACTGTTGCCTTACTTTAGTCAATAAGCAAGAAGACTACTTGAATATAGGATTGTGCATTATTGGCAATCTAAATGCATATTGATCATAATTGATAAGAAAGGTGGCAAAGCTCCAAAAAGAGAGAAATCAAAAAAGTTTAATGAGATGATCAAGCCTCATGAGTTTAATCAAAAAAGTTTATATGAAAGGGAAAAAAAAAAGATTGGTGTTAACAAGCATTGAATGGGAAACAAAATACCTGAATTTGGTTATTATCAGAACAGTTCCAATGTGTTGAAGTTTTGGAGTTAACAGCTGTAAACAGTGCACTAGCAGTGGTCCTGTTTATATGGTAAGTCTCTTCAGTGAAGAGAGATGGAGGAAAGATTCGTAGAAGCAACAAGATGGAGGAAAGCGATGAAGATTGAAGCAAAAGATTTCATCTTCGAAGAAATAAGGATCAGAGGCCTGAAGAGCTTGAAGATTAGGGAGGCAAAGAAAGCCACAATACTGCTGGAAGGTCTGGAAGTGATCGAATGGATGCAGTAGTTTGTTTTAGAAGCAAGTTCTAAAGGTAAACAAGTGAACTTTATGGAGTTCAACTTAGATGGAAGAAAGAGATATGAGCTGGAATGTAAAAAGAATGCAAAAGGATGCTACATAACTCTGCAGGAATTCTTTGGAGGAAGAAAGAAGCAGTTAGTTTGCTTCCCAGAAGGTAGAAGGGGTAATGGATGGAAGGTAGTGGCAGAGTTACTGAGTGATTTTACTCAACAGCTGGAGAAAATGGAGTCCGAGGGTTTTTCACCGGCAGGTAAGTGGAGAAAAACTTTGACACTAGAAAGGAAAGAGTTATTATTAGAGGAGATCTTTTACCAAAAAGATTTCGTGATAAAGATAAGAGAAGGCAGGAGAGAACGATTCTGCTGGTGGGCGAAGTTGTACCCTGGTTTCAAAGTTTTTTGGATGGAGCAGGCTATGTAAGCTGGTGTGAACCATGGAAAGGAACCTTCAGCAGACAGTTACGGAGAGAATATGTTGCTGAGAGAAGGAAAAATGCCAAAGGCTGGTTTGTAACATTGGAGGAAAAGTTCGAAAAAAAAAAAGGAAAAAACAAACAATCATTATCCCTGAAGGTGACAAACTGCAGGGATGGATTGTGATGACTAACGTACTCCACAGGAGACTAGTCAATAAGGAGTCGGTGGCGGTGAAGACACAGGCAGAGAGAGTAGACCATGGATGGAGCAAGGAGGAAATGGTAGAAAGAAGGAAGAGACTGGAAAGGCTGGGTTTAGAAAATTCAGTTGAAAGCCAAGAACACCCAACAGTGGCATTCACAATACCAGAACCAAAAGTTTCAATGGTAAGGGAGAAAGGAGTCTGGGAGAAGAAATTATTCCTCTCTATGAAGGAAGGGGTTAAAGATTGGAAAGGGCTATTAGGGAGGTGACGACGAAACTCAGGTTACATAGAACTGTCATCCTAATACCATTCAATGAAAAGAAAGCAGTTCTAGATGTGGGGGAGGAAACGGTTGACTGTACCACAATGGAAACAAAGGAAGGAACTTTGAGAATTGAAAAGTGGTGTCCTTTGGCTAATGAGGTAACCTCTGTTGATGGGAGCTTCAAACTGAACTGCTGGGGCTACCCTTTCACCTATGGCAAAAAACCATTCTGGAGAAATTAGTTCTGGCAATGGGTGGTGTTCTCCTGCCATGCAAGACCTTAGATCTGAGAGAAGTCAATCTAAGGGTAGCTGGTTTGAAGCCTGAAGCTGTGCCAAGAACGATCAATCTGTGTGCAGAAGGTTACTGGTACAAGATCTGGGTCGCCTCAGAAGTCGAAGTGTTGCAGTGGTATGGGAGGGGGAAGCTTGAAGACAATGATGGCATGACAAGGTGGGTAACACTTGGCGGGAATAAGGAGAGGACTTATGGGCACATCAACAAATCTGGGGAGGACGTTTCTTCTAGAGAAAAGAAGATACTTTCCATGGAAGCTGAAAAGTCAAGTGCAAAAAGCCGAGTAGCTTTTATGGAAAATTTTTCAAATAATTTTGAAAATAAAAGAAACTTAGCTGCCAGTCTGTCCTATGCAGAATTGGTCAGAAGAGGAACTTGGTCAAATCAGGGGAGGGGCCAAATCAGAGCTGGAAATGGAAACCACATAACCCGCTCTGACCTGACCGGCCTATTACTGGGTCGTTCTGGGTCTAACCTTAAGGAGACCCACGGTGCTACAGTCGACTCATGTGACTTGTTAAGTGGTCACGTGAGTCGGGTCTCAAAGGAGTCATTGGTGGACCTTAGTGAGGGTCTATCTTCTTCCCCACAGGTGCTGAAATCGGGTGAAAGTAAAAATCTCTCAGGTGGACAGAAATCTTCGAGGCAAAATCTGTGATGGCTTCCAGTTGCTAAATCTAAAGAAGGGAACCAGGATAAGATGGGAGAAGACAGGCCAAACCCAAGATATTCCAGGGTTAGCAGAGATGAACTTGAAGAAGAGGATGACAGCTGGGTAAGCTGCGATTCCTCAGAGGATGACTTAGAGACAGATTGGGAAGCAGAAAACCAGTTTGACGAACGTAAAGGAAAGCTGGAAGACACCTTCAGCACAGCCATTCTATTTTCTGAGAACGCAGAAGATGCTACCTACTTGCTGAAACCCTCCACTGACAGTGGGACGCTAAATGATGCCAAGCGCTACTTGGATGCTAGGGGGGAAAACCGAACCTCAGGTAGGAAAGAATCAAGCCAGGAAATGAACAATGGGCAAGGAACTTGTGAGAAGACAATGGTTGATCACCAGATTTTAAAAATGGATATCTCAGGAAGGGATGAACGACAGAGCCTCGGAAGTACTAACAAGGGTGAATTAAGTCTAGGTTGTTCCCTGCAAAGTCCTACTTTGTTATTGACTGGTCGAACCCAACCGATTGATGATTGTCCACTCCCTCCAGACCCAGGTATGGTTTTGTTTTCGGATTTTGATACTAATGTCTGCTCTGCTCATGATGTTTGTCTCCCAGATTCCATACCTGCCTCCTTGCCGAATACCCATGGATTAGAAGCTGATAGAGGTGGTAATGTTGGGTAGGTAATAGGAGGGGGGTGAGAGGGAGGTGAGGGTGTGGAACTTAATAATTAAAGAGCTGGATAATTTGACTAGGGTGGAATTGAGAAGGAAAAGGTGACGGAGAGTAAGAATAGTGAGTCCAAAGTAGCCAAAGGAAGGATGGATCAGGAGAAGGAAAGCAAGAGGCACAGAGAGGACGGAAGTGAACAGACTGAAAAGGGAGATGAAAAAGAGGACTCTCTAGCTGAATTTGTAGAAAATCCAGGGTGCAAGGTTAAAAATCTGAATGAGCTGAAAGGGTATTTGAAGAGTAAAAAAGAGGATGGGAAAAGGAGAAAAAGAAGGCTAAGTGAAGTTCAGAGGTTGAAATTGGATGTGGAGGGGGACAAAGAATTTAGTGAAAGGAAGGGCCTTACCACAGATTGGCCCTCATACTAGTAGTTTCACCTGGTCTAATCTCCAAGTTGAACCAATTTGCTCCAAACTAGATAAATTCCTATTTACCACAGATTGGGAAGAGCACATTGGCAAGAATTGGTGTCAAGGGCCTTACCGAGAGTTACTTCCGATCATTGGCCAATTATGCTATGCAAGTCTGAATTTGGAAACA